ATACAAAGAATCACTAAACATATACAACATCTCTGGATATGTTGATCGTCTTACTCGAGTCCTTGTCCTTCTTCACCATCATCACAAGCTTCTTCGTAACTTCAACATCTGTTTTACATGCTCTCCATCCAGATGAACGTATGTATGAGAGTAATACCCATTATTTATGCTTAATTTTTATAAGATCACGGCTTAAATCTGCATATTTAAATCTCTATATATTTACGCAGTGAAAGCGCTAGAGAAAATAGGTACTACACTTGGTATCAAGGGATTGAACCTAAGTTATGAAGACCCTTGTATTTCAGGAACCTTAAAGATGATAGTTTCAAATACCGATTTTAGAAACAACACCATTCGTTGTGATTGTAGCTTCAACAACGACACGATATGTCATATAACAAGCATGTGAGTGTTATTGATTTATTATCATTGTTCCTGTCTTCTTTCTTTTAGATCTTTCTCTTGTACATAATAATAATAATGTTTTTTCTATTTTGTTGTTGTATTTTTGAACGAAAACAGAGATCTCAAGACCCTTAGCCTTTCAGGAACACTTCCACCTGAGTTTGCCGAGCTTCGATATCTCCAATCGATGTGAGTCCAACCGCGTGAAATTTGTCAAACAGTTTAGATAAATGTCATTTTCAACATTGATATTGCTATCTTCATTTTAAAAAGAAATATTTTATTTCAAATAAAGAAACTGAATTTTTTTTAATCTATAGATATAATTCTACAATTTTTTTTCACAATTCATTAATATCTATTGCTATAGCTCTGTGTTGAATGAAATGAATTACAAAATTATGTATTTTTGTTGTTAATATAAAAATCAGTTCTATATACAATATATGGAGTTTTAGTTGAAAAACAAAAACCTTTAGGGAGAGAATTTGCAAAGAGAGCGATGAAGAAAGTTTCAAGCTATTTTTTGTTCTTCTTTGCAGCGACTTGTGCAGAAATTACCTTTCGGGCACAATCCCAATGGAGTGGGCTTCATTGCCAAGTCTCACTTACATGTTAG